GGAGAACCCAATCTAGGAAGAATCCGAGAGAGGAGGAGAAAGGAGGGAGATTTCGAAGATGGGAGGGCTGGTTTCCTTTGAGGAGACAAGCAGGAAAAGTGGTATTGGGAGGAAAATGACATTTAAGGCTAAAGTTGTAATTTTATTTTCATAACCATTCGGTCATGTGGAGTGTGCACCTCGGGTGTGGAAACGGTGGGTGCCCCTCTCTTTATCCAAAAAAAAAATATATAACCAACAAAAGCAAGCTGGCCATTGTCAAAGGCTAACTCTAAAGGCTTAAAACCTTTTTAACAATCAAAACCATTGAAGAGATAATCTTAATCCAAAAAACACTCAAACTTCATATTAGAACGAAAATAAGTGGAACTAGGATTTTATTTTTTACCCTATTACATGAAACCTAGAAAAATATCATCACTTGACCTGCAATCAAAAATCCAAGAATAACTCTTGCATTAATTGGGTTCCTCGCATGATATCATCGGTGGCGGTGTTCCATCCTCCTACAAACCTTCTTGTCAATTCCAAAATTACTAACTCAACCACAACATTCTCAGGCTTTCTTGGCACCATCATACCTTGAAGTTAAATCAGGGGACCCTGCCATTTTCAAAGTTGAAGAGGGTTCACTGAAACTTTCAGATAATTTTGTAATATGGACGAAGGTGGACGAAAGAGGAGGAAAGAAGGTTAATTAATTTCACTGCTTCAAGTGCAAACCTATCATCCTCTTTATAGATCCAAGGGGCTGCGCCAGGTGCGCACGATTTGATTTAAATTGTAACTTGAAACTAAAAGATAAGTTCTATTAGTTTTAGTTGCATTTTTAACAGTAACCATTCGCATTGATTTCAGTTTTGACTAAAAAATTGGTTTTTTTTTTTAGTAATTTTTTGAATTCTTTAATTATTATTTTATTAATTTTAATCACTAAAAAAAATTATCTAAATAAATAAATAATTTGATAAAAATTGTTCAAAAACCTTTAAAAAAATTTAAAATTCATTAAAAATTTATATAAAAAGTTTTTTACCTGAATTTTTCAGTTAAACTCATCCTACTCATCGATTTTTCATTTTGTAGATTTAATAACAAAAATTCAAATAGTTTAAAATCAATTTGGTTCAAATTTTAGTCAAACAAACTTAAAATATAGTCAAACCCTATTAATTAATTACAATTTCATCCAATTTCAAATTTTTTTGGATTACAAAAGTTTTAGCTCACCCCTGCTATCCATGCCTTGCATATCTAGTTTCCAAATCAATCAAACATCATCATCATGGCGCCTTTCAGTAAAAATTACTAGAAATTTTACATGCTGATTCAAATATGTATTTAAGTCACCACAATTTCTCATTTCACTATACTTAATCCCTAAAAGATAAAATGTTCTATTTTACCTACTAAACTAACCTTATAAACCTATCAAACATTTGTCCTTAATGACAAATTAAATTAAACAAGTTTTAACATATATATAATTTTTTGAAAATTGGGGCACAGTTTTAATTTTTTATCTTGTATACTAATATGTTATTGTGTACTTGATGCGTTAAAATTATTTTAATAAGTGCACTAATTGCTCTAAATAATATAATGATAAAATTAAATAATATAATAATAAAAAGAGCATTGAATATATGAGAATTGTAATTAACTAAATACAAAAAATAATTAACCTCAATTTATTTAAACAACTGAAAAGAAAGAAATTTTAATTAAAAAATTAAAAGAAAATAACAATTAAAATAAAACTAATCAATATATGAAATACAAAGACATTCAATTTTACCATAATCAATTAATACAAATTCTAAATTAATATATTTTCAAAACTAATTTTTTTAATATTATTACATGTGATGATGGGTTTCCCTAAATTAATTAATTAGCTTTTTTTTAATTAAGTTAATCTTTCACATACTTATTAAATTAGTCATATTTCTATATAATTTAAAATAAACTAGTGACTATTAGGTAATGTGAAAACCTTTAGTTTAAGAAGAGAGACCTCTTAACTCTTCACTTTTCCTCAACTACCACATGTGATCCACATGTTAATTATCTTTAGGTCCCATAGTTTAACATGATTTATACTGTTATTAGTCTAATTTATACAATTCTTCTTAAGTTCATGTCTAAATTACATAATCATCAAAAAGTGATTAAACTTTTAATGTATTAAGTTCAATAATAAAAATTTACTATGTAAATAATTTTAATTGAAAATATAAAAATTTAAAAATTTATATTAAATTGATTAAGTTACATTATAACCTTAATTAACAGAATTAGTTTATAATAAAAATATTAAAACTTGAAATCATAATTATAAAAATAAAAATATCAAATAAAAAATAAAAATAATTTAAGAAAAAATAAAATTCAATTTTAAAAAATTAAATTATTTGATCTTTTATCATTAATAAATTCTTTATTACCTTCTCTATCTTAATCTCTAAAAGTTATTAAAAGAGAGTTTTCACCAACCTCCTCCAAAGCTTCATTCTGATATTGGATAAGTATTTATATGATTTTAGAAAATATAATTGGAATAGACGATGGGATCCATATGAAAACAAGAAAACAGGAAATCGCCTATGGTGTCGACACGCTAATGCAAGGAGCGACACCTTTACTGTATCTGGGAATAAGAGTCCCTGTCGGGATTTTGTTCTTTAAAGCAATTTTAATTAACGGTAAAATGACAAAATTGGTGGATAACTTTTAGTTTCTGTGCAATCTAACCCTCAGCTATTTGATCTCTGCATTTGAGTCCTAAAAGTTATGATTTCTTCCAATTAAGGGTGCGTTTGGGATTGTGATTGAAGGTTTTTTCTTATAATTGTATAATACTTTTAAATAGATATATATTTGGCAATTTTTTTGATTTACTTTTTTCAAAAGTTATA